ATGAAGAGAAAGAATCCTTACTTCCTCCTGGGGCATTTGGGAATTTGGCAGGGTCTGAAAGCGAGTCAGTGGTGCATAGGGAAGTGCTCCATGGGGAGAGTGTGCTTAGTGCTATTGCAGGAGATCACATTAGTGCTCTTGACACAATCAGACAGAAAGTCCCAGCTGAACAATGAGGTTTTAGGATGAAAAGAGAAACATTAGCAAGGTGTGTACATCGCCGTGAATTTGCTTCATCTTGCTCGTTGATGTGGTGGTAACAGAACTATTTTTAGGTATAATCCTTCAAACAGAACATGACTTCTCCTTTCTGATTAGTACAAAGCTGGCTGCTAGTCAAAGGATAATTATTTCCCAACACATCACCTAACACACACCAGCAAACAAAACACTCATTATTTGAACTGTCCAGCACTAACTGTTGTTTAGCAGTTAACATTTTCTCAACAGCTTTAAACAGGACTAATTGCTCCAGCTTCATTAGCAGAGGTCATTTGCTGTTGGTAACAATACTTTTATGGAGATAGTCTCTCGTATGAGATTAGATTATCAGGTCAAATTCTGCTCCCAGTGGCAATGATGCCTGACCGCAATTGGCCTCACGAAAGTCTGCTCTGCTCTTTTCAGTTCATAGCTGCCCAATTTCCAGGCCTGCAGCTGATCTATTACATAAAGGAAGTAAGTGCACTCCACCAGACGGGAAATTACAATAAATTAGGAAAGTGTGCAGCACAAGGAAGTTTTGCAAAATAGCCACTTCAGGGCTGTTAATAAAACCCCGGCTTCAGATAAGGTTTAGGGGAAAAAAAAAGCCGATAAAGAAGTTATCCTTATAGTTGATGACACATGGATGGATACCCAAAAGGGAAAGCAGCATCTGCATAAGAACCAGTGCATGCAGCAACTCAAAGACCCAGCTGATGCTGTCAAACGCACAGTTCAGATCATAAGCCACCTGTTTTGCACATAGTTCCATGCTGCTTGGAGCTACAGACAGTGGATGCCGAGGGTTGCAGTCTCAGAGTGCAGCAGATTTGCAGGAGGGCTTCTGTGCAGCTCTCACTGGTAGGGAGTCCTTCTGCAGAGCCTGTGTGTCTTAAACAGACTCAGCTCCCTGAGCACACACAAAACTGAATCCAGCCCTTCAAGCCCATCCATCCCCATTCAAACACGTGGAGAGAGGCAGCCTTCTTTTCAGAAGTGCTGAGCAAACACTGCACGGAGTGTGGCCGGCGCCTTGGAGAATCGGGCGTCTTCCCTGTGGAAGTCTCCAGGCATCCTCGCCAAACAATTTTGGTCCTGGCAGCTGCAGGACGTGTTCTCTGAGCGGATTTCTGGTTTACCTGTGTCTCCCTTCCCTGCAGGCCTGCAGCTCTTTGCTGTTGCTTTCCTGCCCACGTACGTGTGCAGCCGCATGCCTACCACCTTTTCTTTCTGACTTGCAGCTCCAACTGCTAATCCATGTCTGGTTTTTGTCAGAAAAAAATATTCATCCTGAGTGTTTGACTCACTGCCTCCGGAGTATTTCAGCTGCCCCACAACGCTTCTCAGAGTATCCTTCTTCCCTGCAGAGAACAGCCTGTTCTGAGTGTGATCCACAGCAGACTGCTCGCCAGCAGCCTCCCCTTCCTCGCACACGTGTGTGCCATATGTCCTGCTCTGTCCTCACTGTTACTGTGCCACTGCCTTTTCCACGCCGTGCAAGATGGACTGGCATCCCCTGTGCAGGCTGCCAGTGGATTACTTCAGCTCTCTACGAAGGCACTCAACGTGTCAGCCTCCAGACTCTTCCAGCAGGTCCTCAACTGGCAAAAATTCAACAGCAGACAAATCCTGACTGCTTTGCTGACACAGCTGGCCCTTCTGAGGTCAGTGGGCTAAACTCATCCTACCTCAGTGCCATTACACTTGTCCAGGAGATGCATCACCCAGTACAGTTCTTCAGCAGGGCAAGCAGAGCAAGCTCTGGCCATAAATTTCCCACCTAAGTTGGACCCTGTTGAAGCAAAAATGTCACCACTTTTTAAAGTCTAAGGACAGAAGTGTTTGGATAGTTAAAACTGAGTGTGTGAACTGATTTATGAAATGAAGAGCCAAATCCATCAGGCTGTCCTGCTCCATGCAGTAGGCCCTGTGCTTCCCCAGGATCTAGCAGCCTGCTGAGGATGAGGGCTTGACACTCACTTCAGTTCCCAGCCAGATGCTGGGATCCTGTCCTGCTCTACCCAGCAGGCAGGAACCTGGCCCTGCCCTGGCTCTGTGGTCCATAACATGCACAGTGCTGTCTGCCCATCCCATCCCATCCCATCCCATCCCATCCCATCCCATCCCATCCCATCCCATCCCGTCCCGTCCCGTCCCGTCCCGTCCCGTCCCGTCCCGTCCCGTCCCGTCCCATTCCAGACATGCACAGCCTGCATCTCGCTGCAGTTGCTGGCATCAGACATCACCATCCAGGGCACCCTTTTGGTCCTGTTGTGTTTGCTGCAATCAAAGATAAAACCAGAATTTTTTTTTTTAAATTATTTGATGACAGAGCCCACTTTACTTAACTCCTGATCTGATGTCACCCCAGCATTTTAAGGAGCCTGTTTCACTGTTAGCAAGGAAGACACCATTAACTGCAGCTCACATCAAACTCCAGTGACATCAATGGAAAAGTATTATTTACTTCTCCAATCCCTTTATTTTGTATTTGCATGAAAAGAGTAACTTTTTTTTTCCCCCTGAAAATACAACTTTAGAAATTGCAAAGGACAAATTCCTTAACTTTGAAAACAAAGAAAAATGAACAACTGGTTTCCAAAACAAACCGCGAGCCACCACCCTGAAGAACTTGCTTTGGGAAGTGCTGTTCTTGGGAGCTGCTATTTAATTAAACTATACTCCTAAGTTTAATAAAGCTAAAAAATACTTCACTTTTATTCTGCACTGTCTTTTTGTTTCTCTGTCTGCCATTTACTCATTTCAGTAATGAAACCACAAGGATAGAGCACACCTTCATAAAGCAATAAAGGAACACAATCCTTCGGAGCAGGGACACAAAGCTGCAGCACTTCTGCTCACTGTAACTCCTTGCTTAGATCAATGAAAAATACAACATTCAGTTATCATGACCTGCTTGGGCAGGATCAGGCCTGCTGTCAGCATGAGGTGCACCTACTTGTGGGGTGGCATGTAGTGATTAAAGAGATTTCTTGCTACTCAAGACCATTTTAAGCTTTCAAATTAAGTGTCCTCTGTAATCTTAAATATTCCGGTCTCCTGACTCCCAGCCATGTACTCCAAAGACAACAACAACAAAAGGGGAAAAAAATAAAAAAAAAAAATAAAAAAGAGACTAATATATTCCAGAAAGGAATAGTTCAAGAAAATGAGTATTCATTATCAGAGTGGAAACACCTTGTCTTTAGCCATTAATTTTTTCCCATTAATAAGGGAAGTCAGTGGACCTCACTGCAACAGGAACACAACCATACTGGGTTTCAAACAGGTTTTTTACAACATTGTGTCAGGAAAAGCCATTAGATCAAGTTGTATTGGTAATCTGAGCCATCTTTGAAGAAAAACAAATGCTGTTCTTCCCATTATATGTTGGTGTTGCTTCAAAACCTATAGAGACACACTTGCTTGTGCTGCAATGGTATTTATTGCACATAGACCAATTACTTACACAGTAGTAAACTGCACCAAAGTATAAATACGTTATAAAACACACAGAGAGAAAAATGGAAATGACACACAAGTGCTAAAATAACAGCAGATTCACGTGGGCATTTGGAAATAAAAATAAAAATAATAAAGTCTCTTAAGATATTTTAATTTATAATATGGATATATTTACAGTACCTTCAAAAAATAATATTAAAAAAAGTCACTCTCTCAATAAAACTATAACAGATCTGACAAAACCAGAAATCAGGTTCAGGGTCGGTGTTACGCAAACCTCAGTTTCCTTTTCAATCTGCGTGTATGTACGTGTGTGCAAGTACTATATTCAAATAACTTTACAACTCTTTAACACTGTGCAAAAAAACGACTTTGTCGCCATTTTTTAAAAAAAAGTGTGCAGTAAATTTTTGTTGCCAGGATTCTCCCCCCTCCCCCCGTTCATCTGTAATTACAATGAACAAGCTGCAGAAGGTTCCTCACCCCTCCCTCCCCGGCCCTTGTCCTAAACCCCTATTAGTGGTATGTAAATATGCTGTTTAATATAAACATGGTCCGTTCATTCCCCTGTACAATATGCACAGTTTGAGGTAGAAGTTTCTCAGCCTGACTGCTATTGTCTGGCCGAAGGAGATAAGCACAGTAACTCACTGCTGGCTGATGCAGAGGGAATAAGCTCAAGAGTGTGGGTCGGGTTGTGTTACCCCCTTTCAGAACACGCCAGCGCTCCTCATTGCTCACTGTTTTCTCTCTCGCTGCTCTGCAGACGAGGAGAGCACGGCTACTCCGAGCTTCAAACTCATCTTGCCAGCAGGTCTCCGTCTTGCCGGCCGCGCTCTGTGCCCGGAGCACCTGCAGCACCGACCCCGCGCCTCCCAAAATCCCGGTGCCCATGGAGAGGGGACGAGCCCCGGGCCAGGCGGGGGTGGCCGGACCGCAGCTGGAGCCGCCACGGGCCAGCACCAGCCCCGGTTCGGCCGCCAGCCCGGTCCCGGGACAGGCACGGAGCGCGGGCGCTGCCGCCGCCGGCCCCGCGACAGCGCGTCCCCGAAAGACGCGGAGGCTGTCTCGGGGATGGCCCGTTTGTTTCCTTCGCTGCCCGCTCAGCGGCTTTCCTGTTTTCTGTAGTTTCGGATGAGGTATGTCGTACACCAGTTCACCTGCTTTTATTCCTAAGCAAACACCCGCGCTGCCCCTGCCAAGGCAGGGTTCGTTCTGCTCGGCACTAGCGTTACCATCAGGCAGCTGCCGGGGATCTCTGCTCCTGCGTGTCTCCCTGCCTGCCTTCCCCCCTGTCCCGGCTCGGACGCGGCCCCCACGCCCCCCTATACCTTGGACTCCGAGTCGGAGGCTTTGCTATGTCGTTCCTCCAGGCTGGACTCGCTGCCGCCCCGCGTGCCCCCGTTGCAGTCGGACCAGGTCCCGGCCCGGCTGCGCTCGGGGGAGCCCACGGTGCTGATGAAGCCCCCGGGCAGCCGGGCCAGCTCCCCGCCGCCGCCGTGCAGCCACCGGTCGGCTTTCCGGCGGCAGCACAGCAGCCTCTTGAAGGCCTTACGAAAGTCGGGGCTGCGGCAGTAGATGATGGGGTTGAACGCGGAGTTGGCGTAGCCCAGCCAGTTGAAGAAAACGAAGAGCCAGTCCGGCACCAGGTCCCTGTTGAAGACGTTGACGATGTTCACCAGGAAGAAGGGGAGCCAGCAGAGGGTGAACACCCCCATGATGATGCCCAAAGTCTTGAGGGCTTTCTGCTCCTTCATAGCCATGATGCGAGAGGTCTTTCGCTTGCTGGCTCGGCCGTTGCCGAGGATGGGCTGGTGGTGAGGGTGAGCGGGCAGGGGCGTCTGCGGCTGCTCCTGGCTGCCGTAGAACCGGCCCTCGCACCTATCGATCTTCCTCATCTGCTCCTTGGCCTCTCTGTACACCCGCAGATACACAAAGATCATGATGAGAAGGGGGATGTAGAAAGAAATGATGGACGAGGCGATGGCGTAAGCCCTGTTGGTGACGAAGTCGCAGCAGCCCGGATCCTGGTAGCACTCCAGCGCCTGGGGGTCGTCGTCCCGCCACCAGTGCATCATGATGGGCAAGAAGGAGACCAGGGCAGAGATGGCCCAGACGGTGCAGATGATGCCCTTGGCCCGACCCTTGGTCATGAGGCTCTGGTAGCGGAAAGGCGAGGTGATGGCCAGGTAGCGGTCGATGGCGATGACGCACAGGGTCTCGATGCTGGCCGTCACGCAGAGCACGTCCAGGGAGGTCCAGCACTCGCAGAGGAAGGACCCCCAGAGCCAAGTGCCCCGCACCACCAGCGTGGCCCCGAAGGGCACCACCAGCAGTCCCATCACCAGGTCGGCGCAGGCCAGCGAGGTGATGAACAGGTTGGTGAGGGTCTGCAGCCGCTGCGTCCTCCCGATGGCCGCGATCACCAGCACGTTCCCGGCCACGATGAGCAGCACCACCAGGGCCATCAGCAGGCTCATGCCCACAGCCCACTGCTGCGACAGCTCGGCGGCGGGCAGCTGCCTGCTCCCGGGCGGCACGGCCGTCACCCCGGCCACGGAGCGGTTCTGGGGGCCGCAGTCCGGAGGCAGCCACCCATCGCCCATGGCTGTGCGGGGCGCTCCGGCCGCCGCTCCGCACCGCGCCGCGGGCAGGAAGGCGGCGCCGCCGCCGCTGCCACCGCCCGGGGGCTGCCGCATGGCCCCGCGCCGCGCCGCCGGACGGGCCCGCCCCGACACCGCCCCGGTACCGCCCCAGTACCGCCCCGGTACCGCCCCGTACCGCCCCGGCACCGCCCCGGCACCGCCCACCGCCAATCGCCACCGGGGAGCGGGAATGAAGCGCCCCGCCCGCGCACCGGCGGTACCGCTGCCCCTGCCCTGCCCCTGTTCTTGCCCCTATCCCTGCCCTTCTCCTACCCCTACCCCTGCCCTGTCCCTATCCCTGCCCTACTCCTGCCCCTATCCCTACCCCTATCCCTACCCCTATCCCTACCCCTATCCCTACCCCTATCCCTTCCCCTATCCCTACCCCTACCCCTACCCCTATCCCTGCCCTTCCCCTGCCCCTACCCCTGCCCTATCCCTGCCCCTATCCCTGCCCCTATCCCTGCCCTACTCCTGCCCCTACCCCATTCCTGTCCCTATCCCTGCCGGTAGCCCGCCCGGACTCCCCCGGACTCCGTCTGTGCTCTGGCTACGCTCTGCCTGCCCCGCGGCTGCCGGGCTCAGAGCTCCCTTCCCGCACGGCAGCGTGGATGTCCTGGGCAAGGGGTGTCTGTGCCCGGCAGCCGCAGGGCAGGCAGGGGATACGGGCAGGGTGGGCTCCTGCCGGCTTCTGGAGCAGAAGTTACTTCTCTTTATCCCTAGAAAAAGCAAAATGTCAGCACCATTCTCCACTGGAAAGTAATTTACACCCCCTCCCATTGGATGTCCCCATCAGGGACAAGTGCCGCGCTCGCAAGCCCCCTGTCCCCGGTGCCGCCTCTCCCAGCCTGGGCAGCCCCAGAGTTCCCACGTAAAACCCTTAAAGAGATGATGCTGCCAGCTCCGTGCAGGGACTGCGGCTGCCGCTTGTCCCCTGCATCTCCCCATTGCGAATCCTCTTTTCCCCTTCTCCTCCAGCCCTGCCAGACCAAGCCACTGATGGGTTGGGAGGTGGGGACCCCAGCTCCCTTTTCTGGGTTTTATCTGCTGTGTTGAACAGATCTCTCTGGATTTCTAAAAATGCCTGCAGTAGCTGTTACACAGTCTGGTCAAACCCACGAAATCTAGGGACTGCTCTAAGTGTTAATGCTGTTAGTACCATTGCTTGGTAATGAGCAGTAAAGTACGTGAAACATCAGATAACCAACTGAGCAAATCCCTGCCCAGGTCCCCTGCCCTTCTGTGAAACCTGCTGCTAGGAACTTGTTTGGTTATATTTCCATTTACCTGCTTGGCTCTCTGTTCTGCTCTGAAGCTGTAAGACTGCGTTTTAATGCATTTTACTGTATTAAACTTCTTAAAATAATGTGGAACAACCACTGAGTAAATGAGAACAATGTCCCCTCTCTCCTGCCTTTTAAATCATTGGCATGTCTTTACAGCAGCACCAAGTGTTCCCCACAGCACTCTGGGAGCAAATGGAAGTCACAGTTATTTCCTTCCCCCTATATATTTATTCTGCTAGGACTTCTCTGCTGTTCCAGATGGCCCATAAAAATCTCTTCTAGGCTTAGGCTTGATTTACAAGGTCACAACCTGGGAAAAAAAATATTTATTTATTTACACACTGTTTATTTAACCCTGACTAAAGGGCACACACCAGCGTGGACCTGCTGCTTGGCAAACCATTCCCTCGTGTTCTCATGGACTTTGCTTTGCTGCTCGTCATCTGCTGGACCAAAGCATGACCCTCTTAAGTGGCAAGGGAAGGAGGCATGACATCTTCAAGAACAGAGGGAGACTTATGCCAAATGAAAAGCAGAAGGGTTGTTTCCAGGAGTATTGCCTAGGTCTGGTATCTGTAATTCTGATCTAAAACAAAAAGTAATAATATGAAACCAGGTTAGTGGAGCTGTGGGATAGAAACAATTTTTTCTTTTCTGCATTTAGCTGGAACACTTAAAGTAAGTACGAGGCCCATGGTGCATCATTGCACCAAAACCTTCACAGATGAGATGCTTGGATGAATTTTGTGAATGTGTACAGTCCATTTTAGCATAAAATCAGCCAGAAAAAAATCTGATAAAATCTTGCATATTTTTCCCAAGATGACACTGAAGCAGTGGTGGGGATACCCTGCAGCTGTTTTACTTGCTATTCCTGGAGCAACATCCATCTGTCATCTGTCCAGATCCATTACTTCTGTAATATCTTTACACAGTTAATAAATACCATAAACTAATAAAATGCCAACTCTTTGCCTAGCAAGCTGTCCTATCAGATCTCCAGCAGGAGGTCTCTTCCCACCACAAGAGAAGATAAGCTGAAAGGTTGGAGGAGTAAAGGAAATTAACAAGTATGCAATAAAGCAGAAGACACATAATTGTGTGTTGCTTCTCCGTGTCTTTGTTGGTTCCACACACGTCAATCTGGAATGTCAGATCAGAACTGGAGCCAGAACGTCTTTGGGAAACAATGTATCTCCAAAGGAAAAAATAAGCAAGTTTACAAATTCTGTACAGAACATCCCTCTGGCCCTTGAAGCATAGAGCAGCCAAATATTCACTGTGGGCTTAACCCCTTTCAGAGCATTACCTTCTGCAAACTTTAACTCCAAATTTCCTTGGAAATTTCATTTTTTTTTTTTTTTTCATTTCAGACAGCTCTTTAAAATGATTTAAATACTTCAATTTGTTTGCATATTAGTTGTTATGTTAGGTCAAGAGAAGAGCTAAGAGCTTACAGCAGTGAAATGTTTCTTTCTACTTCCTCTCTAAATGACAGTTTTTAATGAGTGACAGGTAGATCTGATGAGAATCAAAATTCATTGCATTTGAGGAGCCCTGTTGGCAAGAGCTGTGAAACCTCAGCATTTCAGGAACTGAAGTGAGCTACATGGGTGCTTTTTAAACCCAGTCCTTTGAGATGCTTTGCACAGCTTCCAACTTGTCTTTGAGCTCCTCCTTCCTTGCAAAACAGATCGTGAGATGAGGGTCCTGTTGAATGGGTCATGTCCCTACCAGCAGTGGGACAGGAGGCTGGGAATGGTGCTGGCCCCTGGCACTAACCCCTTCCCTCATTGTAGCTGTAGCTAGGGCAGTGGGTTGGCTGTTGCCAGCTCTGACTTGCTGCTGTAAGCCATCCCTGAATCTCCAGGGCTGCTCTGAGCTCTGTGTGCCTCGTGATGCCCCTTAGACAGAGATTTTGTCTTCCTTGCCCAGTCTTCATGAATCAAATTCAGGGACCACTATTATTAACATAATTCCTTCTAAAAACATGAGCTATTTGTTCTCTTGAGGCATTAATCAAAAGCCACTGAAAAGCCTGGAAATCCTCCCATTGATTTCAGTGAGCCTCATGTTATCATTCCTTCTCTGGAGAAAAAGAACCACCTAAAAGCAAATTAAAAATGCATTTGCTGTCCATTTTTCTTCCTGCTGTCTTCCTTAATCTCTTTGCAAACTTAGCATCTGGTAAATCATTTTGTGTTTGCTACCTGGACAGTTGACTAAAACCTGCAGGAAAGTAGGTGAGAAACAGCTCTGCAAGTTCTCATGTGAAGTGATCTGGCTTCACCCTCTCCCTGCTGGCCCAGGAAGAAATCATCACTTGGCTCTGTTCACACTAGACATTTGTTATTAGAGAAACAGAGACATGATGGAACTTTGCCACAAGATCCATGTCTCTTGCTTTTAAAATAAACATCTTGGCTTTGACTTGACGTTTATTTTCCATAAATGCCTCAGCTTCAATTTGGCATTTCAGCAGCGGCAGGAGGCTGTTATCCTGTGACAACATGCAATTCCATTGACATTATCTCCTGAGCACGTGTGACAGTGCTCCAAATACTGTATGTAGTTGATTTTAGGTAAACAATATCAGAAAAATATAAAGCAAAGGTATCAAAGAACAGGAGTTCCAGCCCTATGCTGTGTGTGTGACACTAAAATTCCACAGGGTTGCTCTGTATAAGTGTGAGCTACTGTAGGAAACACACCCTGAGTTTGGCTTTGGGGGTCCAAAGCAGTGAATGCTTATTAATTCTTGTTCACTCAAGGGCTGTGGCTGATGTGAAGGTTAGTACGTACAGGACAGAGCATATCAATGTTTTGAAAAGCTCCAAACCAATCTGAACACACATGAATAAATCCTGATGCTCTGGAAGACCCTGTCACAGCAACCCAGCTGTTCAGAGTATTTTTGTCATCAGGAGACTGTCTTACAATCATGCTGATTCATTAATTCCCTTCAGGTGATAAAAGAGATGCAATATGTCTTTCTGTCTCTCTCACACACACTGAGCAAAACAGTGCTGAAGAACAGCCAAGTCATGTTTCTTGTCTCCTGAAATCTGTGTTTCATTGTTGCTAAAAAGTCAAAATTCAGAAGAAGGCTGAGTTGGACCAACATCATTCAGTTCTACCAGAATGGACTTTATTTGAAGTCTGGACTAATATTAATCTAGAGCAATAATTATGTGCTCTTTAATGCAGATCACAACTGACTGTATTTGCTCAAGTTTCTGCGGATTCCTGCCTACATCCCCCTGTACTTTCTTGACATCCTGACTCCTCTACAGAGACACAGGCACTGTGAGAAAAGGCTGCCTCTTTTTTAAGCAGCAACAATTCCTGTGAGAGGGGTGGCAAAACATTTTACAGCAGGCCAGAAAACCCTGCAGTGGCCAGAGCCTTTATTTATACAGAGAGATTGTGGTCAGAGATGACAGCAGAGGAGTGATGACTGAGTCCTCTGAGGTTTCATGTTAGTCTATTCCTGCTTCAATGCATACTGGCTGCAAGAAGTTGCCTTATTTCTCCATCCTGATGCTTACCCATCCATAGGATGAGAATAGCATGCTGTGGGAAACTCCATCTCACATTTTACCTGGAAAAAACCTGGTGCTTTAAAGCCACATGTTGAGGTGTGGGCTTGATGAAAAAGCACAGCAGCAGCATTTTGGTGTCCAGCAACATGCTGGGTGCTGAAATGTGGAATTCAGAGACCATTT